TGGACGCAGCCCGCTGTGCGTATGCTTTGCTCACAGTTTGAGGATTGGGGGCAGAGAGCCACAGGCTCACAAATCCCTTAAGAGCCTGCTGCAGAGCAACCGGGCAGCCAGTGCCGAGCAGCCTGGGCATCGCAGGAAAGCGATTTCCCTTTGGGAAGGAAGGCTTAGTGTCTCCCAGCCAGCGGTGTAAGGCTGTGTGTCACGATCCCTCATCTGAAGGACTCTGAGCCGCAGGTTTCCAAAGCTGCTGTGCTGTGCTCTCGTTATTTGCTGGCTCTGTTTGGCTCATGGTACTGTGGAGCACTTAACCAGCAGCATGGCCAGGGGCTTTAAAACCAGCACTGCCCCTGCTTGGCCTGCGTCCCTCACTCCGCCATAAAATCCTCTGCTTTCCAGACGGAGAGCAGCCACGAGACTTGCTGGGACCTGTGGTGACCCTTGCCGCACAAGATGACAGCAAGAGACGGGCCCCAAGATAGGTAATGCTGGGCTCCAGGGTGGGTGTGGGGGCACATCCAGGATACTGGGAGGTCAGGGAGGACAGGGGCACCCAGCATCTGGAGGAGCCCCTCTCCTGCATGCTCACTGGGCTGCTGAGCTGTGCCTTCCCTGAGATACTCTCTCCATCAGCTTTTTCATAGCAAACAGGCTGTAAACATTCCCTGGCACTGGGACACGCCTGGGGAGCGCAACTGCCTCCCAGCTCTGGCAACGGCTGCTGTGCTTCTGGGTGCCATGTGCCGAGGAGCAGACAGCCTCCCCCTACCTTCATACCACCCCGGGAGGGCATCCTACAGCCTCTCTGCTGTGCCACATCTCCTCGGGCAGCCCAGGCTAGCAGGGCTGTGGAGCAGGGACAGGGCAATAAATCTTGTCCTCCCTCTTCCTCCTGGTGCCTCCAGCTGCGGGGTCAGGGACAGTCAGAAGCAATGCCTGTCCCCTGCCCTGCCCAGCATCACGCTCCGTTCTGTCCCCTCTGCAGGTACAAGGCTGTCTGGCTGATCTTCTTCATCCTTGGCCTGGGAACACTGCTGCCATGGAATTTCTTCATGACCGCCAGGGAGGTGAGGGCTTCCCTTCTGCTGGTGCCCATGACACTAATCGTCCCCTGTCACATCTAGGACATGCTGTGTCCTTCCACACACAGGAAGATGTGGCAGCACAGCACAGCATAGAGCCCCCGCATTTGCATGCAGGAGACAGAAGCGTGGGTGATCTGGATGGGATGAGTGGCGCTGAGGCGGCAGGAGGGCTGGGCATGGGGCTGGAGTGGGGACAAGGGTGGCCTGAGTGTGCTGGCGGAAAGCCTCGCAGCACCTCGGCCCCACCAGGCTCCTCCTCTCGCAGTATTTCATCAGCCGCCTTGCGGATCGAGAGAATATGAACTGCTCCCAGAACCAGACCGGAGAGGCTGCCTTGTCCCCCTCCTACCTGCAGTCTATGTTTGACAACTTCATGACTCTCTGCGCCATGGTGCCCCTCCTTGTCTTCACCTGCCTCAACTCCTTCATCCACCAGCGGTGAGCCATGCCCCATCCTTGCCCCTGTCAGCCCCCATAGGGCTGCCCAGCCCTGGCCCGTCCTCCTGCCCCAGCACTGAGCCAAGCCACAGCCCATTCAGTCAGGTCAAAGGCAAAACACTGGTCTTCTGGGCTGGCGCTTGTCCAGGGAGCGCTTCCCATGGGAGAGCTTGACTCCAGCCTCACAGGCTTTTGGGAGGTGGGTTTTCCTCACTGATACCTTTTCTTGCAGGATTCCCCAGCAGATCCGCATCTCGGGCAGCTTAGTGGCCATCGGGCTGGTGTTCTTAGTCACCGCCATCATGGTGAAGGTTGCCATGGAGCCTCGTCCCTTCTTCATCTTTACCATGATCAGCATCGTCTTCATCAACTGTGCGTGAGGCAGCAGGGGGAAGGAATGGGGCACAGCCCCATGGCTAGGACTGATCTCTCTGGGAGAAGAGCTGAACCTTACTGCGGGAGAGCCAAGGAAGAGCGAGACGTGCCTTGCCTCGCAGGGCAGGGGCCTTGGCTCCCCACAGAGGTGCAGTCCATCCTTGCCTTTGTTTTCTTATTTCTGCTCATCTTTCCTCTTTGCAGCCTTTGGTGCCATCCTCCAGAGCAGCCTCTTTGGGCTGGCAGGGCTCCTGCCTGCCAGCTACACAGCTCCCATCATGAGTGGGCAGGGCTTGGCGGGCACCTTTGCTGCTTTGGCAATGATCTTCAGTATTGCCAGTAAGTAATCCCTGCCCTGCGAGTGACAGGGCTTTCCCAGAGCACTGCTGTCAACAGGATCTGCTGAGGTCTTGCTGTAGGGTTGAGTGGGAGATGGCAGCAGGACCTCGCTCCTCTCAGCCCTCGTCATCTTCCTTTTTCCCCTCCTTTCCTGTGCTCCCAGTTGGTGCCCGGCAACCTGAGAGTTTCATCGGTTACTTCACCACGGCCTGTGTGGCGATCGTGCTGGCAATCTTCTCCTACGTCCTTCTGCCTCGCATGGTGAGACGTTGTTGTCCTGGTGGGGAAGGGTGTGGGGACTTGGGACCTTTGCGCATCACAGCACAAGGACTGTGGCCTACTAGCACCCCAGCCTTGGCTCCTACCAGCCTCCACCTCCTGGATCAGGGCAAGCTCTCCCGCGTCCTGACGGAGCTCTCAGGGATACTTCCCACCTCAGATACTCCAGTGTCCTTGGGGTACTGTGGAAATGAGCCCCTGGGCGAGAAGGAAAGCATAACTATAGGATGTAAGTGGAAGGAATACTTTGCACATATTGCATTTGCTCATATTGCCCATATTGCATTTGCTCATATTGCCCATATCTGTTATTACCTCACAGCCCCTGGCAGCCTTCATTCCTCATGCATGAATGAATTTTCCGTGGCTGTCTCTCTGCAGGATTTCTTCCGATACTACTCCATGAAGGACAAGACAGAGTACCGTGTGTACAATGCAGAGCTGGAGACCAAGAGAGATCTGATTAAGAAAGGTGAGGGGCTGAGAGGAGGAAGAGGAAGGAAACAGAGGAAGAGCTGAGAGGAAGAATGAGAAGGATTAAATTAGATCTCAACTTTCTGAGGAAGAATGAGAAGGATTAAATTAGATCTCAGCTTTCTGGGGTCTGCTATGCCCTACTTGTGTCTCTCCCTGCAGACGAGCCCAATGGGGTGGAGCAGAATAACTCAAAGATCATCCCTGTCCTCAACCCTGACGAGAAGCCCTCAGTCATTGCTATTTTTAAGAAGGTCTGTGAGCTTCCAGCAACCCCTGCCCTTGCCCCTGATGGGCATAGGTGTAGGAGAGCATGGGGAGGGGAGACAAGCCCTGCACTGGTCTCTTGCCTTGTGTTTGATACCAGCCTCTTTCTTTCATCTGCCTAGCTCTGGGTCATGGCTGTGTCCGTCTGCTTTGTCTTCACTGTCACCATTGGCGTCTTTCCTTCCATCACAGCCAAGGTGTCCACTGACCTCGGAGAGGGAAACAGATGGAGTAAGTGTGGCCAGGGAATGAGTGGGGTAGGAGGAAACTGGGAACAAGGTAAATGGGAGGAAAGAAAGCAAGGCTTGAAGTAGTAGGGGTGCCTGAGGAGAAGAGGAGATCATTGTGCGTGATGGTTTGTATGCAAGCACCAGCTTGGCTCGGAGAGCATTCCAGCCCTTAGCAGGAAGCCAGGAGGAGCGGGCTTGAAAGACAGTCTCTGTGCAATTGGCAGGAGGGCCTGGGGCACCCTAGGCTCGTCAGTGACCTTCTCCCCCTTCTGCAGGTCTCTACTTCATCCCTGTCTCCTGCTTCCTGCTCTTTAATGTCTTTGACTGGACGGGACGGAGTCTCACTGCCCTCTTCACATGGGTAAGCATGGGGCAGGGAGCAAATGCCCAGGCACTTTGCATGCCCAGGCCCCTGAGCCATGGCTGTCACTGAGGGTGCCATCCATGGCTCAGAGGAGGGAGATGCAGAGCTGACTCCTGCCCTGGCTTTAAGTCCTAAGCAGAGATTTATAAGTCAGAGCCGAGAACCGCAGTGTTGTCCTGTCCTCCTCCCACCCGTCTTTCCGCATGGCTTAGATGAAGCTGCCTTCTCCATTTCAGCCTCTTTGTAAACAAACCTTCACTCCAGCTATGCAAATAGCCAGGCAGTTTTTTTTTAAGAGGGTGAAAGACAGGGCAGCCCAAAATAAAACCTCTGGCCTCTGCATAGGACACAGCTGCTTTAAAGAGCCTTGTCCTGGGAGCAGGGCAGAGCCATGCTGCATGGGTCTCAGAGCTGTCCCCTGCTGCGTTTCCTCGCTCTCATCTCCCCTGCCTGGCTCAGAGCTGCCGGGGCTGAGTCAGCCGTGATGGAGGTGGGCGAGGAAGGGGGCTGTCTTGTCTGTGTCTCTTCTTGCCCCTTCGCCCACCCCCAAGAGCCCTTTTCCCCTGTATTGTTCAGGCTGTTTGTTTAGAGAAGCTCCTCAGCACCACGCGCCATGGAGTCTGTCCGGGCC